AAAGTCCATGCCTTGGCTCGACTCCGTCCTTCCCGGCGATGTTTGTTTGTTTCCCCCCCGGAAGGGCCTCTCCTTTGTGGCCGCCGAGCAGCGCTAGTAATAGCAACTATTAGTATAATTAGTATTATTATTACCTATTAATGCTTTTATTAGTATTCGGTGGTGGCTCGAAGCCGTTCCTGAGATTCCTTTGCGCACAAAAAGAGGGCTCCGGTTGACCTCGGATCCGAAGGAGAGGGGAGTAAAGCTGAGGTCCGATTTTGGCTCTTGGTGGCTCACCGTTTGTGGTACCATTTTGGCAAATCATTCAAAGCACGACGGGAGGGAAGGGGGAGAGGAGGAGAGAGGGGGGGAGAGGGGAGGCCCTCGGAGGCGGGTTCCCCCTCTTTCCCCTTCCCCGGTCCGGTCCAGTCCAGCCCTTCCTCGAGCGGCGGCGGTGGCACCTCTGCAGCAGCAGCAGCACCCGCCGCATCCGCCGGCCTTCTTCCCACCCCCAATCCAAAGGACGGACGGAGACTGTCCCCTCGATAGATCCAGGTCCCGGAGGCAGGGAGGGGAGGTGGCGGGCGGGCGGGCGGCCTGGCGACGGGATCCGGGCCGGGGCTCTGCCGGGCTCTCTCTCGCTCTCTCTCCCTCCTCCTCCTCCTCCGCCCGCCGGGCGCCTCTAGAAGGAGAACCAAGTCGCCAGGGCGGCCGAGAGCGCCAGGAGGAGCAGCGGGGAGGCCGAGGGCAGCGAGGAGGAGGTGGCCGCCGCCTTGGTCTTGCTGCACAGGACGAACAGGTTGCCCTCGTAGTCGAGCTTCTTGGACTTCTCCTTCAGCTTCTCCCAGACGTCCTTCACCCCTTCCTGGCAATCCGTCAGGGCCACCAGGGTGCAGGCGTGGAAGTCGTCCCAGTACCTGCGCCGCCGGAGGAGAGAAGAACAGAGCGGGAGGTGACCAGGGCTGGCCGGAGACCCCCGCTCCCCCCCCGCCCGTCAAGAGGCCGCCGCCCTTGGGACCTGGGGGGGGGGAAGGGGGGAGCCTGCCTTTCCCCTCCTCTCAGCTTCGTGTTTGACCTGGCCGGCAGGGTTCCCTCTAAGCTGACTTAGTGTGAGCTAACTCACGGGGGTTTTTGGCCTCCGGCTCACAGATTTTTGTCTGGAGGAGAACCCTAACTCCAGAGCAAACTCGTTTAGGCAGGAGCCAAATCGCTCGCTCACCACTTTCATGCCAGTAGCTCACAAAGTAGGATTTTTGCTCACAAGACTCCACAGCTTAGAGGGAGGCATTGCTGGCCGGCTTCTTTTTTTAAAAAAACAAAGCCAAAACCCAAAGGCACTTTGCAGAAGCCTAGAGCTGCTCTGGTTCAAGTGGAGGCATCCCTGCTCCCTGCGCGGGCGGCCTCCCCCCCAACCCCGGCTGCCATTCCTGAGGGCGGCTTTAGGCCTGTCCAGGAAATGGGCTTTCCGTCTCAGCCTTTTCAACTTGAGAAACATAGAGCTGGAAGGGATCCCGAGGGGTCATCTACTCCAACCCCCTGCACAGTGCAGAGAATTCACAAGGGCCTTTCCCTCCACTCCCCCACCGACCCCCCCCCTGCTCTATGTCCAGGGGAAGGCAAAACAAACAAACAAAAAAAAACACAAAACACAAAACCCTCCAGGATCCCTGGGCCAATCTGACCTAGAGAAAAATCCCTCCCTGACCTCAAAGTGGCGATGGCCATTACCTTCGGCATGCAAGCAAGGGCCACCAGCGCCGAACCCTGACGCATCCCCTTCCTGCCCTCCCTCTCAGCTCTCACAACAATCTGCCTGAATTCATAGCGAGCCATAGAATCAGCATGGCTGCCAGATGGCCATCTAGCCTCTGTTTAAAAAAATTTGAAATGAAAAAAAAAAAAAAAAGCGCCCAAAGAAGGAGAGTCCAGGAACCGCCGAGGAACCCGCTGCGCTGTCGGGGAAGTTCGCCCTGGCTGAGCCAACGTTTCAGGGTGTGGTCTGGTTTGCACAAAACTGCCATCTTTGGGACACACACACACACCTAGGAACCCCAGGAAACGGGTTCGTAGAGAGGCAGGTCGAGAAGAGATTGGATTTGTACCCATTGGATTTTTATTTAGTTGTGATTGTCGATATGACAATAAAGGCATCCCAATACGATTTATACCCCCCCGCCGCCCTTCACTACCCGAAGGAGTCTCAGAGCGGCTTACAATCCCCTTCCCTTACCCACAACAGACACTCTGAGAGGTAGGTGGGGCTGAGAGAGTTCTCCCAAGAACTGCTCTTGAGAGAAGAGCTCCGAGAGAACTTGTGACTGACCCAAGGTCACACCAGCAGCTGCATGTGGAGGAGTGGGGAATCAAACCCGGTGCTCCCAGATTAGAGTCTGTGCTCCAAACTGGAAACTACACAAGGGAACAAACAATAGTGTAGACATGGTGAACCACAGATACCCCAAGGCTGATTTCCTCCCGCTCTTTACCTTTTGAAGCGTGGATCCCCGTTAATGTCAAGCTCCATGGAAAAACGGACCAAGGGGAAGGAGAGGGGCCGGCCTGCCGCTGCCCTCCATTGCCAGCTCAACGAGAAGCGGGTCAACCAGCCCCTCCCTGGATATAACGTTCCTGGCGAGCGCAGGGAGTGCTTGTGAAAGGATCTTCACAGGAGAAGCCGGGGTCTCTGTTACCTGCTGCTCCAGGGGGCGAACTCGAGGACCTTTGGGAACTGCAACAGGGCGACCTTGGGCCAGTGACAGGCTCTCGGCCTCACCTACCTCACAGGGTTGGTGTGTTGAGGACAAAAGGCAGGAGAGGAGAATGAGGCGAGCCGCTTTGGGTCTCCACTGGGGTAAAGACGGGGTGTAAATAGAGGGGGGGTTTATAACAAAATCTGGCGTTTCGTGATCTGCAGAGCTTATATCTTTAGAAGCTCAACATACATCCTAACCGGCTCTCATCGGCGCAGCCTTATAGAAATCCTGGTCAAACAAACAAACAACTTGAGATCTAATCTCTCCCCTTGAACTGAATGCCCTGGGAAGAAACGACAAATGTAGAGTGCAGGGGCACCTTTAAGACTAACAAAGGTTTATTCATGGTATGAGCTTTCGTGTGCTTGCACACGAAAGCTCATACTTTGAATAAACCTTTGTTGGTCTTAAAGGTGCCCCTGCACTCTACATTTCTTCTACTGCTTCAGACCAACACGGCCGCCCACCTGGGACTGGGAAGAAAAGGCCTGCGTAAAACCCAGCCGTGCTTCAACACTACCATTGCTCTCTATTCTCGATCACTCACGGCGACTTGTTCTTCTCTCGAGACTCGGCCCACCGGGGGAATGCGAAGCAGACGAAACAGCAGCAGCTAGAGGGAGGCACCCCAACGCCTGCTACAACGCGCCAGTTTCAGAATCCTCTGCTCATAACGCTTCAACGCCTGCCTTCACTCCCAGGTCCTGCTAGATTTTTTTTTCTTCTCTTCAGACGCTGTGCAGGAGAAATCCCCCCTTTCCTCAAGAGCACCAATATTCGTCTTCAGAGCCGAGGAAAGAGCTTGGCTGTCATAATGCATGCTAAGTGCCCCCTAGTTTCCAACAATAATACTGTGCCATCAGCGTTATTAACATTTTGGGATGTGCTGCTGCGAAAACGCTGCTGTCAAAGTGAGCTCCTCCTGGTGTCTCCCTTCCCTTTCTCAGAATGTGCATCTTCTTGGGCAGTGCGCTCTTGAGAAGCTGTCGCCGAGCCATTAGGGAACGCCGTTCATGTCGCTTGTTCTTTAAAAGCAGCTGATAACAGACCCGGGACTGCCTTGCCTACCAGACAGCACCGAGCACCTCGGCACCCGCCATATCTAGGCATGGTGGGGTTGGGGAGAGGGGGAGGAGCCAGAGAGAGGCTTTGCTCTGTCTGTTTGGGCGGCCTTCCGAGGTGGGGGCTGTTATTATGAATGATCACAGTCAGATATTTGACTGGTGAATGGTGTTCTGCAATCTGAGATTTAGCCAAATTCTTGGGAACTGCAGAGGTATCGTTGCAGGATGCTTGCTGTTCCAAGCAGCTCTGTGTTCTGGAGCTGAGCTGGTGATATTTGCTCAGTGACCAGAATATGCAGGTGTTTCTTGAAGCTTCTAGGCACTGCTCCAAGTGCTCCAGTGACAACTGGCAGGATGGTAATCTTCTTCTCCCAGAGGCCCTCTAACTCTATTCCTAGGTCTTCGCATTTGGTGATCTCCACCTGTTCTTTCTTTTCTGTTCTGCGGTCTCCTGGGATTGCAATGACCAACGATTCAAACCCAATTGCCCTACAATTGTGACATTAGGGGTTTTTATTTGTATTCGGAAATCCCAAAGAATCTTTGTTTCATTATTCTCCATGCTCTTGTCTGGATTGTGCTCCATGGATTTCTGGCTGTTGGTAAGCCATACTTCTTGCAAAGACTCTAGTACAACACAGCTGCAACTCTAGGGTGACATTCCTTGTAGTCAGTTTGAGCGATTTTACTGCAGGCACTGACCATGTGGTCGACTTTTTCATTCTTCCTCCTGCAAAGTTAACATTTGCCGTTATCACTGGTCTTGTGACTTGGCATTATTATTGTTATTGTTATTATTGCTGTTGTTATTATTGTTGTTATTGTTATCATCATCATTATCATTATTAATATTATTATTATGTCATTGTAGTGGTTTTCTAGTTTAATGTAAACTGCCTGCAGCGCCTGGAGAAGCCGAATGCATTTTGTTTCCATGAATAAAGGTATCGAGGTATTTTTTACGAAATCCAGTCTTTAAAGACATCCGTTTAGGGCTTAATCCAGAATTCATCATTCATTATCCCTGGTCCTGAAATCGGAGCCGATAACGTGCCTCTGAGCATGTGCAGTGCGCCGTTTCGCCCCCTCTGCCGGCTTCCCTTGCTTGTCTGAGCAACACCAAGAGACTTCACGGCGCGGGGCTCTCTGGTTGGGGGCTGCGGTTGGATCGTCGCTTTCCCGCTGAGTGAAATAGGAGCGGTCTCCTTCCAGCTCTCCTTCCTCCAGACCGGAGACGCGTTTCCTTTAACGGCCGCAGAAAGTCAAATATTCGGCGAGGAGAAACCCTCTCCTCCGGGTTTTCGACGGAGACTGACATCTGCCAGTCCAGACCGGGCTCGGAAACGGGGCCGGGCTCCTCCTAATTGCTTCTCCGGCTGGCGTCTTCTTCCCGCCCCCCGAGAAGCCTAGCCCGCCCCCCTTTGCCCGTGTAGGAGTTCGGCGGAGAGGCGGGTTGATTGCGCCTGAAAGAGTCGCGGGGCGAATTCTAATTTACGAGCCGCCCTCGGAACTGGCCGCGGAGTCCGACGCCGGCTGCATTTGTAATAAATAATGAGGCGCGGCGCTGGCGTGGAGGGCTGCGAGGGCGCCTCTCCCGCTGTATTTCCTGCCCTAATTGCATCTCCCGGAGGACGCGTAAATCTCGCCGAGCTCCTCTCTCCGGTGCACGCGCAGGGGGGGCGCACGCTCGCGGAGCCGGGGAGGGAGGCGACCTGGGCCAGGATTCAGGCGCGTCCCGGGCGCGGTCGGGGATTCTAACGCCAGAACCGAGAATCTACAGCAGACTCGAGAATCGCCCTCTTTGCGCCCCCCCCCCCAAAAAAAAACACTCATTGCTTTGCACGCCCATGGCACTAAATTGCAGGCTCGCTTTCTCTGCCCTCGCGTTCCCTCTCTGCCTTGAATGGGGAAGCCTGAAAAGGAGTCGAATTAAAAGCATACAAAAACACCCAGAGGGGGGGGGGGGGGGGGGGAGAGAAGAAAAGCCTCTCTAAGCTCTGTGGCCCAGCCGGTCCTTTTACGGCGTCGTTGGCTCGCCTTTACGAGACTTCTCCAGGAAGGTTTCTTTTTCCGTTCCCTCCCCGGTATTGTGCAACGTCGCTGCCGAAGGGATTTTGTATTAGACAAAGCTCTTTCAGGGAAGCTACCGTGAAAGGGACGTTTGCTTGGGGAAGCTGGAGTCGAGCTCGGCAAGCGCCTCGGAGAGCAACCTTAGGGAAGAAATCGAAGCCCTATGCAGTTCCCGCCTGCTGTGTTTTTGAGGGAAGGTTGGGCGGGGGGGGGCAGTGGAAGAATAGAGATTTCTTCGTCCCCTTCGGCTGTGCATATAAACAGCTACACTCTACATCTGAGATTGTCAGAGTCCTATCGGTACGCATCGCCATGGTTTGTTGTACGGCCTTTAGCTGGAAGCAAACGGATTCAGCACCCAAGCGGCCCATAGCCTGATCTGCCCAGTTTTCATCCTGTTCTTCACAGCTCTGCTGTTTGGATTCCAAAGCAATTAGCGCCCGAATCTTCGTTGACTTTGGAGAGGAGGTTGCCCCGTTCCGTTCTACTGAATGCTTGCTGTGCCAAATCAGAGTCAAACTGGAAGCCCCCTCCCGGGGGGGGAGGGACTCGATGCTCCAATCCGAAATCAGATTTGCAGCCTGATCCTGGGCAGGCCAATCCAGAAGTTCAAGAGTAGTTCAACAGGGTTCGTTTACTTCCCAATAAGCGTACTGCAACCTGTCAGTTTATAAAGAACTCATCCGGACGTGCGAAGTGGAATTATGCAAAGTCAGGCTACTGGGACTTTTACCCCACTAGCGTCTACTCCGACTGGCAGGGACTCTCTAAGCGTCTCAGAGACAGACACAGACAGAGGTCTTTCTCTTAACTGGATTGACCCTGAGACCCCCTGCCTGGGCAGCAAGTGATCCGTGAGAGCCAGGGGCCCTCCGGCTGACTTCCAAGTCAGGCCCCCTCCCCGCAGTTTCGGGAATAAATCCTCCCCTGGGACTTCCTTCCGAGCAATCCGAGAGGATTAAACCGCATATAGGATTTCTACACAACCCTGCTATCCAGCGGAATTGCCCGGAACCTGGATGGTGCAGGCTAGCCCAATCTGGTCAGACCTCAGAAGCTAAGCAAGGTTGACTCTGGTTAGTTGTTTGTATGGGAGACCACCAAGGAAATCCAGGAGACCAGCCAGGAAATCTATGCAGAGGCAGGCGATGGCAAACCCCCCTCCGAAGGTCTCTTGCCTTGAAAACCCTACGGGGTTGCCGCCCATCGGCTGCCACCTGACGTCACTCGCCGCCCATCAAGCCGAATGAGTAGAAACAACATTTATCTGAAAGCGAATTCTATCATCTCCAGTCAAATTTGCCTCTTGGTCTGATCACGGCTCTTTACTCCGAGAAGCACAAACGGGATTGGTTTGTAAAATCAGTTTGGAATCAAGCCTTTTCGTTTCCTGGGGTTACACAGCGAGCCGTCCTTCCAGAAAGTCGCACATATTCTTCTGTTCCTTTAAAGGAAACACGGCGACTTTCACCCCCAGTTTTTCCAAGGGCCAATCCAATCCGACTTGTTTCTTGCTTGCACGACCGCGCCAGCCTCCTCGTTTGAAATGCAGAAACTTCCCCCCCATGGCCTCACTTGTAAAATAGAAAGTCAACGCGGTGTCCCTGGAAGGTGTTAGATTGGGGGAAGCCCTGGGGACAAATCCCCGCTTTATATCGCGCAACCACTCTTTTAGAAAAGAAAACCCCAACGTAAGAACACAAATCTGATTAACACGACTAGAAATTCAAGCTCATACAGAATTTTTTTTTTACATTAGATAGTTTCTGTACCTGACTACAACACGTGACAAGAACTGGAGTTACAGCTCGCTGCAATATTTTTAATAGCATTATTAAAGATAGGAGATCGATCTTCTTTGACTCATCTTGGGTATTAGTTTCCTTCCCCTACTGGCAAAAGGTAAATCCAGGTTGACCGAAAAACTTCTTAATGGATTTAGGAAGCCAATGCTACGGGGAAAATGGAGGCAGCCGCCGTAGGTTCCATCGGGATGATGCCTCGTCTCCAGCATCAAGCTTGCATTAAAAGCTACCGTTTCAAAAGTGGGAAGGGATAATACCGTTTTCGCCCACGCTGGTGGGATATGGATTTTAAGTTCCGCAGTAGGACATGCTTTATGAATTGTACCTATTAACTGAGAGAGGGCCCTTAATGGAAACCGGCCGGTTAATTTAAACTAGCTCTTTAAAATCAAATCAGGATAGGCACAATACGGGAAATGCCTCACAAAGTAACAGAAGACCAAAAAAAAAAAAAAGCGAATGTAATGAAACCCAATAAAACATCAGAGTCCTTGTCTCTAATTTCAGTAGGATGTTGATTACCTCTCACGGTTACATATTCGGAAGCAAATACAATAGAAAGACGATAGATCTGTGATTTGCATCAGGGTGTTGATACATCCAAAAAAACACACCGGGGTGGGAATTGCTTACCACTTCGGTACATGCATTTTGTGGTTATGCATCTAGGACAAAAACTACTATTAGGGGAGAGGCTGGTTTGTCTTCATAGCATTAGGTTCCCAAAATAGCAGTGTGTTGGTAAGAAGCAAGGCAGATTGCTACTTTTGCTTTCGCTTTTTTTTAAAGTCCCATCTAGGAACATGATAAATAAACGGTAATGGCCATAGAGAGGTTTTAACAGCAAAAGAAGTACACCTACCGGCAGATGGTTTCCAGATTTCTCTTGTCGTCCAGGTCTTGCTGGTAGCCGGCAATGTTATTGCCCATCTTGAGCACACAAGTCGAGAAGCCCTTAAAGACCTCATCGCACTTGCCCGCCGCTCGAACTGCCTGCACCAGGTACGCTGGGGAACAGATCAGCACCACGTCAGCTGGACAGCTCCGAGCAAGGTAAACAGCGCGCGATTACCCAGCCCTGCTTTTTTGACTCGAGAAAACTGAGCGATCCAAACCCCCCCCCCCCCCCCCCCCCCCCGTCTACACACACACACCAGCGCACACCAGGACACAGACACGTAACACGGACTGAATCTGCCCTGCCAACAGATCCCTCCACACCCGGAAGAGCATTTTGTTTCCTACCAGAGCATTTAAGTGGGCGAGATACATTTTTTAATTAAACAAACGTGTCCAAACGACACATAAAGAGGCCGGGTTTCTCCCCTTTTGGCGTCCATGAATACGTGGCAATAAAATAGTACCGCACCACTAATAAGAGCAGTCTTCCTTTCACGTTTCCTTCAAGTTCGTACTTTATCTAGGACGTATTCTTTGAAAGGCATAACGTTTTGAACGTTTTGGGTTTAAAAAAAAATCCTTCAAAAACAACAAAATGCATCTTCTAAGAACGTTAGATTAATTTCAGCACACAGCTGCATTATTTCTATAAGGGGATAAAAATTCAGAAGGAGGTGGAAATTGTAGGAAGACACGGGTGGGTGGGTGACGATCACTAACCACCATTCAAGGCACACCTTTAAAAGTGGATCATATGTCCATGGAACATGGTGAGGGGGAAAGGCCGAAGTGGTAACCATCAGAGATATAAAACCTTCTCTTTCTTGTATTAGTTTCCTGCAGCTAAGCTCTCTCTCTCTTTCTCTCTCACACACCCCAGCTGCACCATGAGAATTTTATTTGAACAGGCTCCCAAAGACCCGCCTCCTTTTTGAAATACGATGCCCTGCATGCAACGCAATGCACTTGACGAATGGCGGGATAGTTAGATTCATGCAAATTCCCTGTAAAATGAGAACCCAAACTGCGGTTGACATGCCCGACGCGTGTCCCCTTTCATTTGGTCCCCCCTCCTCGACGATGGATCCCCCTTTCTCGTTCTTTTGCTGAAGATAAAAGAACAACCCCCCATTTAATCTCTCCCCGACTCGCCTCGACTGAGTCCCACCCGCCTCCCAAACAGCCAAGCTTCCGCCGTTTCCATCCACCAGACGCATCATCAACACTGATTCGCCGCTATCCATCTTCCGCTTTTTGCAAGGAAAGCCAACACCTCTCTGCAAAGATCTGCCAGGAAAGCTGAAACCAGACGCCCTTCTGGTTCCCCTTGGGGGAAGACAGTTTTGTGATTTCTCAGTGGGTGGGGGAAGAAGCAACCAGCATGGGAACACCCCCCCCACACCACCAACTTTGAAGGATTTCTCATGAAATCTTCATTCTGTCCTTCCCCACAGTCCTTGGGCATAATGTACACGACTCAGAACTCAATGGCAAAAAGGTTCTTGATCTCTAATAGTCAGATCTCTCTCTCCCGCGCTGTGCGCGCGTGTGTGAGTGTGTGCACGCGCGCGTGCATGCGCACGCGTGTCTCTCCGTGTGCGAAAGATAGAGGAAGATTTTGACATTTTTGCTGGGAATAGGTCAATGGATTGCATTGCCCAAACACACCCGAACACAACGAACCAACCCCAGCCGCTCTGGCTTCGCAGGCGGTGCTCGGGGAGGGCGCCGGAGCGAATGCAGCATACGGGGAATTTATCCCTATCAATCCTGCAGCAAATGAAAGGGAATTAGCGACTTGTTGGTTTAATTGATCACTGGCTTGATCCCCGGCAAGCTGTTTGTGGCTGGCGTCTCCGGCGCCGGCGCCTGCAACAGCCACCGGGTTCGAGAGAGCGAGCAGGAACGAGCGCTCCTCAGCACGGTTCCGCCCGGCTTGTGCGCTTGCCCAGCCCAGGGAACGAATGGCGAGGGGGGGGGGGATGGCAGTTGGGAGAGGCATCCCCCCCCTGGAGAGATTTTCTACGACAAGGCTTTGGCGGGCTGGGAGTTTGCGGACGTGTGTGTTGGGTTCGAATGGTCCGGATTCAATTAGGAAGGAAGAAGGCGTCTGCCTCAGTATTTCAGCGGAACCCCCGCCCCCACCAGCACCGCCGCCGGATTGATCGCTCACCTGATTTAGGAGCCACCTCCCTCCCTCCTGCTCTCTTTCTCTCCCCCCCCCCCCCAACCCCCCCCCCGGGCTTCCCCCCCCCCCCCCCCCAATCCCACTCCCCGGCACGTCGGAACACGCAGAGGCTGCAGATGTTTGGCTGGGGGTGGGGGAGCCGACGAACAAATGCCAGGCCGGGCGAAGCGTCCCGAGAGGAGAGCCGGCCTTTCAAGGAAAGCGCTGGGTCGTCCTCGCAATCTAGTTATCGAAGCCCGTCAACCGAGGCAGGGGAGAGGCCGCTCCGCAAAGGGCACGTCCCGAAAAGGGAAATTCGCCTGGCCACGACTGAACACAGCCCC